TCGATGTTTCTAACGCTCTATCCCTCTGTAAAAAATCAATAAAATATATTTTAAAAAATAATAATAATAAATAAAATAGTTCAAATGGAAACCCAGCAGATGGGGAAAAAAATAATACAATAAATAATAATACAAGAATAAACTCTGTTTCATGTACTCACAACTGTAAACCTACTTTTGCCCCACCCTATATACAGCTGATAAAATTCATTACAGGACAGCTGACATTTACTGTGTGCCAAGCACTGAACTAAGAGTTCTGTGTATATCAACTCTGAATGTAATCCTCAGAACAACACTAGGAGGTTCTTGCCATTTTACAGATGCTAACTCTAAGGAATCTGTAAAATGGCAAGATTAACAGGTAACTTGTCCAAGAGCCACAACGAGCAAGTGGCAGAGTCTGGACACAGACCCATCTTGGGATTCTTGAGCTTGTCTGCTTCACTATTTTGTTAATCTGCCTCCCTACTTTTAGATACATGGAAAGATGTTTATCGGGTACCACGAAGTAAATTTAAAACAGAAAACAATCCCCCCAAAAAACCCAAATTATAAAATAGTACATTTGTTTCTATCAATTTGCTACTGAGAAAGAAAAAAGAAAAGGAGGCTGAGCAATCAGCCTGCCAAACTGGGCCCACCTTGGCCAAATCCCATCACCAGGCCCCACCCTCGCCACAGAGCAGCACTCACCCTTGGGCCCTGTGTTGCCAATCTGACCCACGGCTCCCACGATGCCAGGAACGCCCCGAGGGCCAGGATGCCCATGAGGTCCCTGTTTGCCTGGGTAACCAGGAGGCCCAGGGGGTCCTGGAAGACCCATCATGCCGGTTGCACCCAGGGCTTCCCTCTTGGCACTCACAGCCACCTCTGCCAGTTGCTCTGGAGGGAGGGAGGGAGATGAGAGGTCTGTGACATGGATGCTGCTCCGAAAAACAGGAAGGCAGAGCATCCTGACAGCCCCTGGCCGCTGGGTGTGCAGACAGGAAAAGGCGGCGTTGAACTTCCCCCTCCCCGGGCCATTCTCCTGAGGTCCAGCAAGGGCAGGAAGGTCTAAAGCTCCCAGTCCTTGGAGGCAGAGCTGCTATGAGCACCCAGGACTTCAACGCTGAGGCAAGGCCACTTGGATGGGTGATGCCCTGCCAGGGCCTGTGCGGAGGGGTTGCTGGCTCCTCCCATCACCTTGCAGCATCTTCAGCACCACGTCCACGATGTGCTGGTCGCTGGCATCTCGGCCCTGAACAGAGAAGGCCTTTCAGGAAGAAGCCCCGGCTGCTCCCTGCTCCCGGTTTCTCACCAGCAGCATTTTCAGCATCTGATTGAACCCCTCCTGCTCCACCCACACCATCCTGATTGGGGGCCTGGGACCAGCCTCAGGGACCTCAGCTTCCTCTAGCAGCCCCAGCCCTTGGGACTGAGCAGCACCGAGAGATTTCCCACCGGGAAGACTCCTGCCGGGGCCACTCACCGCCACGCCCTGTCTCCCGGGCAGCCCGGGCACGCCGCGGTTTCCAGC